AAAATTTAATTTTTTGATTTTTAATTTACATTTATTGTTTCCTTTATGATTTGAAAAGTTTTGATATGAAAGAAATATCATACACATTTGATTTCTTTAATTAACATCCTGTCTTTTTAGTAAACGTTTCAAATTTAAGTCAAAACAAAGAAGAGTTTGGTATTCAAGTTTTCTTTTAGAAAATACTTGGCAGTGATTCTTAATAATACATTTATACCTTTTTTGGTACTCCTGATATCTGATATTTTTTCCCCTCATATTTAAATTTTGTTTTAAATCTTATAACACAGGTCAGTTACAATTTCAAATTTGTAAATGGGTACGTTGTTTTGATATTTTTTTTTTTTTATAAATGATAAGAAGTTCTTTATAATTTCTTGAGTTCAAAAAATGATTATTTGCTTTTTTTTTAGGGATGGCAACGAATATTCGAACATTCGAATATTCATTCGATGAGTTGATATTCGAATATGAATTTAAGATTCGAATATTCGGTGTTTTTCAGATTTCATAAAAAGAAGTACTGTGATTAATAAATTTTGATTAGAACAGTGCTGGGATTATCCCTGTTTAATTTACTAGCGATCAATTTCGATCGACTGATTTCTTTCACTACTTTCTTATCTTATAAATCTTCTAAATTACATGTAATTTGTTTTGAGTAAGGTGTTGTAAAGAATTGTACAATAATGCTTTATGTATAATACAAAACGTACTTTCATAGCTTTTATTAGTTATAGATACGATCGGATCTAGAATCGAGGACAACAAATGAAATCTAAGAATATCTAAAAGGCGTGAAGAGTAATGTATACTTATCAAAATAAAATTAATTGATCATTGAATGAATGTTCGATAGAATTAATCTGTAATTAATATTGTAAAGGGCTTAATCTCAGAATAAATGTGTAAATTACTTGATTATCTCGGGTTGTACATAATTTATATTCATTATCGGGAAAACAGGTAATTACCTAGGAAAATTGTCTATGGAAATATTTGTTTACATTGTATCAAAGATTATAATCATATCTCTTATCAGGCAAATAATTGTAATTTATTACACGTATTGAAATCTGAACAGTATACCGTTACGACTATCTTGCCTTTTGTGAGACGACTGGTTCCTCAGTTGAAGCTACTATAAATACACGTTTCATTTGTTAAAATTATACTTTTCTACATTTAAATCAATTATTTATTTCAAACATTGACAAATATCAAATGGAATTTCTTCTTGTACACCTACAAAAGTCTTCATACAATTTTACTTCCTATATAAGTATACCTACGAGAGTAGGATGATGTATATTTAAAATAAAACAGATTTTATTCATTTTATCGAAAATTCGAATATATTCGAATACTTTCATTGAATATTCGAATATGAATTATTGACAAAATTGACATCCCTACTTTATATATATATATATATATCTAACCTATGGTTTTAAGTTGTTGTTTTTTTTTTCAGTGAATTAGCCCTTAAGTATCAAAAACTATCTTTCATTTGTTGGTAGATAAAACAATTTCAACTACAAATACTCAAACATTTCCTGCAATTACTTTTTGGAGAAGAGAGATAAAGATCATTGATAAATATAAAATTGTTTTGTTACACTCCTAACAATAGTAGATTAAAAATAAAACCCCCAAATTTCAAAGTTCTGTCAACACCAAGTTTAAAAACAAAATGTTCCCTTTTAATGTCACAAAACTAACTAAAATATTAAATAAACTGTAATTAGAAGTTGAAAGTATATTTTATAGGATCCCAGTATATTACTTCGATCATTTGGAAAGCACTGTATGCAATCAAAAGTCATCAAGAAGTATTCTACTCTTCACTTTTTTTTTTATTAATTCATATTTGATAATAGGTAATTCGAACATTTGTGTTGCATTCCTGAAAGAAGTCTTTTAAGAAGAATTGTGAAGCATAAATTACACAAGAATGTGTTTTGTTGTTTCAGTGAAGTAATCGAATAACTTGAATTTTATAATAATTTTCCAGTGTTTTTTTATTCATTTTAATTCATCTAAAGAAGAGAAAGATTGCAATGATTAAAACAGTCTATAAAAATATAATTTAATACAAAATTATTCAAATGGATCCTTACTGATCAAAGCATACCTAGAAGCAAGAAAGGCTTATTTTACTATTGAATCTATCTTTAAAAATTGTTCCATCCCTGACCATAAAATATGAATCTGAAACACAGACAGAAACTTTTATTGACAGAATTATTTGGTAAGATATGTACATTAAAAATTAAAACAATGATTTATTAAGCTGTATATTTAACTTAACAAATACTTGTTAAAATGTTTTCTGAATAGGCTTGGTTCTCTAACTTGTTTTTTTTATCTTCTTTTTTTTATAAAGTGGTGTTTGATATTCGTAATAAGAAGCAAATATGAAGTTGTTAGGACTTGTATACAGCTACTCTTATGTTTCCTGATCTTTACCTAGTTTCTCCTACGAGTCTCTAATTTGTATATTATGTTCTCAACAGACACTTGCTAGAAATTGTAATTAATTTACAATTTTTATCTTGGTTTTTTAGACCAATAGATTAAGAGGATATCGTGAACTAATTTCTGATATTCTGAACAAATAGTTTTTAAAGATTCTTTTCCCCTAATGTTAATGATACCCATAACAAATGGTTATTTTAGATATGAATATGTTTATTTTTATCTTTATTTTTTTTTTATTTTAGCCATATTTTCAAAGACTGTTTTGTTTTTAAATTAAATTAGAAACAGTTAATCGATATCCCTAAAACCGATTTTCTTGACAAGCAGTTCTCAAGACTTCTTTCCAGTTTGTTTTCTAAATTGTTTTCCCTTGGCTCTCTAACAATCGTTTAGAATAATTACCTTTATATTCTATTCTTAGCAATCAGTTGTTTTCAGACTTATTTTCTTTGCAAATAACTGATTAAACATATTAACTTAATTGTGAAATTCTTAACAAACAGTTGTTAAGACATTTGTCTTTCAGTTTTCTGAATTGACTTCCCTTTGTATTCTAACAACTGTTTGTTAAGACTTCTTCATGAAGCTATATTCAACAAGCAGTTGTTAGGGTTAAGACTTTTCATGAAGCTATCTTAGATTCTAAACAAGCAGTTGTTAGGGTTTAGACTTATTCAGGAATCAGGAATCTTTTTTTTTAAGTTACATTTTTCTTATGTTTCCTGAGTTGCCTAACCTTATTCCTCTAACAACTAGTTGTTAAGAATGTTTCCTTAAACTTGTATGTGCTATTCTTCATTCATTTTCATTCATTGTCAATTTTTGTCCTGGTCTCTAACAAATTTTAAAAGGATTCCAGGGACCTACTTCTAGCATCCTTAACAAGCAGTTGTTAAGACTTTATTCCGTTTGTCTTCCTTTGCATTCTAACAACCACTTGTTGAGAATACATCTTGTGAAAATCTTTTGGTATTCTTAACAAGCAGTTGTTAAGAGTTTATTCCGTTTGACTTCCTTTCCATTTCTAACAACCAGTTGTTAAGAATATATCTTGTGAAATTCTTTTGGTATTCTTAACAAGCAGTTGTTAAGACTTTATTCCGTTTGTCTTCCTTTCCCTTTCTAACAACCAGTTGTTAAGAATATACCTTGTGAAATTCTTTTGGTATTCTTAACAAGCAGTTGTTAAGACTTTATTCCGTTTGTCTTCCTTTCCATTTCTAACAACCAGTTGTTAAGAATATATCTTGTGAAATTCTTTTGGTATTCTTAACAAGCAGTTGTTAAGACTTTATTCCGTTTGACTTCCTTTCCATTTCTAACAACCAGTTGTTAAGAATATATCTTGTGAAATTCTTTTGGTATTCTTAACAAGCAGTTGTTAAGACTTTATTCCGTTTGACTTCCTCTCCATTCCTAACAACCAGTTGTTAAGAATATACCTTGTGAAATTCTTTTGGTATTCTTAACAAGCAGTTGTTAAGCCTTTTTTCCGTTTGACTTCCTCTCCATTCCTAACAACCAGTTGCTAAGAATATATCTTGAGAAATTCTTTTGGTATTCTTAACAAGCAGTTGTTAAGACTTTATTCCGTTTGACTTCCTTTCCATTTCTAACAACCAGTTGTTAAGAATATATCTTGTGAAATTCTTTTGGTATTCTTAACAAGCAGTTGTTAAGACTTTATTCTGTTTGTCTTCCTTTGCATTTCTAACAACCAGTTGTTAAGAATATATCTTGTGGAATTCTTTGGGTAGTCTTAACAAACAGTTGTTAAAACTCTGTATAAAAGTGTAACAGTTTTACTTAATTTTATTTAACAAGTAATTACTTAAGAATTCCTTCAGCTTATTTTTCGTGTTCTTAACAAACAGTTGTTAAGACATGTCAGATATATAATGGTTTCTTTAACAAGCATTTGGTAAGAATTGGAAAATAAAGTGTTTAAAGTATGCATAGATTTCAGTTGTCTTTTTTGTACTTAACAACCATACAGAGCTTTTGATCAAATGGAATTGATCAAGTTAAAATGGAAGGTGTTTTAATTAGGGTTTCTATATATATTTATGTTTAAAAGTCTTTCATCACTGTCTTTCTATAACTCCAGGATTTCGATAGTTTCAATTTTTAGCATCTTTTTTTATTATGATTCCAATCATCTCGTTTCCATAGTTACTACTAAACAAAATCGTTACTCAATATTGTAGTCCAATTTTTTTTTCACTGAACATTTTTCGTAGCTCTGATTTTAGGAATTCTGAAAGATGGCATTGCTTCACTTTATAAATAGAATATTACTGACACCTTTTAAATTTTCATATATATATACATCTTCATAAGGAACAAACCAGTATTTCATCCTAACTGTGATTTATCTTTGAATTGTAATTCTTTAATTGTTTATTGCGTATTATACTGGTTTTTTACACTACAAGCAGTTACTGTACAATTATTAAGGGTTGAATAGAATTTCAAACACCACTGTATTGTATTAATTTATTCTGTTTTACGCATTACAGTTCAGTTATTGGAGTATAAACTGCAGCAAGAGAAGATAATCCAGGATGACCTGAGGACCAGTTTAGAGGTTGAGCGCGACCGCTCCAGTGACCTCTCCACCCAGCTGAGTCGTGAGAAAAACAGTAACCTTGACCTTCAGACGGATCTGTCCAATCAACAGATCCAGATTTCTAAATTAAAGGACGCCCTGGAACGAGAACAGAGCCGTTTTATATCAGTCACGTAAGTATATTCGGCTTATAAATGATCTCTTAAGTATATTCTAAAAGTTTTTTAGGAAGTTTGAAGGGAGGGGAAGGTGTAAATGAGGGGTGCAAAAAGAAATGCAGTTTTATTTGAGGCAAAACAAAAGTTTTTTTTTGTCTTAATATGCGTTTACTAAAACAGTTTAATAGTTGTAATTATATATCTATGTGTAAAATTATGAATAAACTATGACATATATAGTAAATTATAAAAACTTTGTCTTTAAACAGAACTTTATGGAATGATTTATTGTAAGTTTATGTGATCCTAGTCATACAGATGGCAATGCTTGCTTTTTCATTTCCATATGATTTATGAATCGGATCATTTAAGTCATTGACAATTAAGTTGTGTCACAGATAGCCACTAAAATGTATTTAGGAGCTTGGGAAAAAAGAAACGGAAAAGTACAGAGCTTAAGCACGCAGTCAGTCACTGGGCTTAGAGTGAAAGAGAATTGAATCTGCTTTAATATTGGGGAAAGAAAGTGCTGAATTTCTGTGTGTTTTTGTTGCTTTCGTGTTTCATCTAGTATTGTTTGTCATTTTCAGCATTTCCTTAAGGTGATTGTATTGATTTTGTGAAAAATTCACGGTTATTTCGTAACACATGCATAAATTTCTATTCACATGAAATGTCACTTTTTAATTTGTTGAGGAGATCACTAAAAGTTTTAATTTCAGTCGCTCAGTGAGAATGCTACTGTAGTTGATTACTAGAAATCAGAGTTGAAAGGAAAAACTAATTTCCTTTTTTTAAATTACTCGTAAAAATTCATTTTGTATAGGTGGAATCATACAGCAGAATTAAAATAATTATCCTGTTTTTAACAGTCGAGACATGATTGTAGAATTTTTAGACCAGGGTTTAATAGATTTTATTTAATGGGATTTCACATCAATGATCATTACTGATTCTCTAAACAAAGAAGTACAGCAATTTATTTTTTAAATAAGTCACCTTTTTTGTGTGCTTGTCATCTGCACAAAATAAATAACCATATCAAAAATATTTTTAAACACTTCTCATGAAGTAATTGCAGTTGTATGACACTTTCATAATTCTGTTTGCATATGCACAGTTAACTCCCTCATCAAGACATTATAAGGAAGTATTCAAGAAACTGTCTCCAATTATTGTCCGGGGAATTCTAAATTAAGGTTTTTAAATGGGATATAATTATATATAGTCTCATAACATGAGGAAGTATTTCTGTATCAGATTTAGTATTAGTTGATACAGACAGATCATTAAGTAAGGATAAAATTATAAGAAAAAATCAAACTAGGTGATAATATTGAATGAGTAAATAATGATGAAAATGTGGAAAAAAATTATCATCAAGATCGTTGCATTATGGAAATGTGAGCTTTAACAATGCTTAAGTATTGCAATAAATGTCTAAATACAATATGTATACATGTATTATAGACATTTTAATTTTCTTCTCTCTGGTCCCTGATTCTAATCAGCTCTCCTTTGCAGGGGGGCTCTTGAAGAAGAGAAGTCAAAGAGCCAACATCTCAGTGAACTACTCGAGCGAGAACGAGCCTCACTGAGACAGATGAGGTCAAAGGTCGAGGAGGTCAAACTGGAGTCAGACAGCAAAGAGAGACAGGAACATCTACTTGAGGTTAGGATTAATTTAAGGTTCACTGACCCACTGGTAAGAGAGATAACTCTTACTGGACTTAATTACAGTAATTATTACTCTATAAAAAAAATCATTAAGTTAAAAGGGTTTTGGGGGGGGGGTTCAAATTTTGGCACCTCGAGGTATTATGAAATTGTTCAGATCTTAATTATGATTTAATTTTTTTTTAGGTCACCTGAGTCACTCAGGTGACCTATTGCTATCCGTTTTCGTCCGTCGGCGTGCGTCGTGCGTTAACATTTGAACATTTTCAGCTTCTTCTCTGAAACCGCTCAACCAGTTTCAACCAAATTTGGCATATAACATCTATGGGTGAAGGGGGACAAAATTTGTGAATTTCATGGTCCCTGCCCCCCTGGGGCCTGAGGGGTGGGGCAAAAACCACTAAAATTAATGCAATCTTTAAAAATCTTCTTCTTTACTCCTGGACATCAAGCAGTCAAACTGTTAGCATGATTGTAATAAGCATTGAGCCCTCTACCAAAATTGTGAAATTCATGGCCCCAGGGTAAGGGGTTCTGGGGCTAGGGCGGGGCTATATAGATCATATAGTGAAAGTGCATTATTTCTTTGAAAATCTTCTTCTCTACCCCTGGGTATTATTGAACAAAATTGAATACATATTTATGATAAGCAAGAGTGACTTTACCAAAATTGTGAAATTCATGGCCCCAGGGTCAGGGGTTCTGGTGTTAGGGCGGGGCTATATAAATCATATAGTGAAAGTGCATTATTTCTTTGAAAATCTTCTTCTCTACTCCTAGGTATTATTGAAACAAATTGAATACATAGTTATGATAAGCAAGGGTGACTTCACCAAAATTGTGAAATTCATGGCCCCAGGGTCAGGGGTTCTGGTGCTAGGGCAGGGCTATATAGGTCATATAGTGAAAGTGCATTATTTCTTTGAAAATCTTCTTCTCTACTCCTGGGTATCATTTAAACAAATTGAATACATAGTTATGATAAGCAAGAGTGACTCTACCAAAATTGTGAAATTCATAGCCCCAGGGGCAGGGGTTCTGGTGTTAGGGCGGGGCTATATAAATCATATAGTGAAAGTGCATTATTTCTTTGAAAATCTTCTTCTCTACTCCTGGGTATTATTGAAACAAATTGAATACATAGTTATGATAAGCAAGAGTGACTCTACCAAAATTGTGAAATTCATGGCCCCAGGGTCAAGAGTTCTGGTGCTAGGGCTGGGCTATATAAATCATATAGTGAAAATGCATTAATGCTTTAAAAATCTTCTCTACTCCTGGGTATTATTTAAACAAATTAAGTACATTGTTATGATAAGCAAGGATGCTTCTTCCAAAATTATGAAATTCAGGGCCCCAGGTACAGGGGTTCTGGTGCTAGGGCGGGGCCATATATATCCTATAGTGAAGGTGAATTATTTCTTTAAAAATCTTCTTCTCTGCGCCTGGGTATTATTTAAACAAACTATTAGTACATTGTTATGATACGCAAGTATGCCCCTTCCAAAATTGTGAATTTCATGGCCCCAGGGTCAAGGGTTCTGGTGAAAAAGGGGGGGGGGGGGCTCTATTGATTATATAGTGAAAAAGCAAAATTTCTCTGAAAATATTCTTTTCTGCTTCTGGTTAAAAAGCAAAGAAGCTAAGTGTATAGTTATGATGAGCATGATTACTTCTTCCAGAGTAGTGAATTGCATGACCCCTGGGTCAGATGTGCTGGTGTAAGGGTGGGGCTCTTGATAATGTAGTGAAAATGCATTAATTCTGTTAAATAATCCTGTCTGCTCCTTAGTGTTAATCAGATAAACAAAGTGATTACTTACATGTATGATGAATAAACTTCTGGTCCCAGGGTGAGAGACTCTGGTGTTTCTCGGTGGGGATGGGAGGTTGGGGGGGGGGGGGGGCTGGGGGGCTCTATTGATAATGTAGTGAATCTGTAGTAAAAACTGCATTATTTCTTTGAAAATCTTCTCTGCACCTGGGCATATCAGAGGCAAAAAGAGTAAAAGTTTTAATAAATATTTTTGAACATCTGGGCCATTTTGTCAAGTGTTCTGGTCCTGGCCAGGGCTCTATTAATTTGTATTCTACTGAGGGGAGTTATTCCCCTTTGCCATTTACTTTTGATAATTAGTCACTGTAAATAATGTACTTGAAAGGTTAATAGAATAAGAGAATTTTGCAAGATTTTTTATTGTATAATACAAAAAGTACTTTCATAGTTTTATGATCAGGTAGACTTGTAAGTAATAGATAAATAAAAATGAGACAAAAATAACTTGTCTTATTCAATGTTCATCAAAGACCAAGAGAGTCCAATGTAAGAGATTTCAACAAGGAATTAAAATAGTACAGAAGCATTGATAGTTTGTTAATATACTGTATGGTGATAGTGATAAATGGGGAACAGATTAGAACCTAATTTATGAACTGTTAATGAACACTAGACTAATTATTTTGTTGAACCTGATCACCCTATTTTTCTTGCTTTTGGGCAACAAAGCTTCACTTTTCAGTTCATTTTATACTCTATGGATTCTCTAAATTGTTGTATTATACTCAGGTGACCGTTAAGGCCCTTGGGCCTCTTGTTTTTGAAAATTGTCATAATTTCAAGCAAAATTGAAATGGGGTATCATTTAAACTCAGTATATTCAACACTGTTATCTCTAATACCAAGGACCTGTTGCATTGATTTGGAAGTTCCAACCATGCACTCTTTTTCATTTATTTCAACATCAGTAAATTCTTGGGATATCTCGGAGGTTTTTTTCTCGGGTACATCTGGTTTGAGATAATGAGGTCTTACTTTATAAATTTGGTGAATGAATACCATAAAAGTTGGTTTATTTTGTCAAAAATAAAACAGGGTTTTACAGGGAAACTGCAGCTAGACTCAGGTTACTTCCTTTGCTAGATATTTACCCATTATCTATTTATTCTGTTAACCTATTAATATTCCATCACATTTAAGTTATCATCTGTTGACAGAAAATTAGATTATTGCAAGGAAGTCCCTTCAAAAACACATTTTTACTAAACATTCTTTTGATCAAGCACTGATATTAAAGGGGAATAACTCTTAGAAGGACAAGAGATTTATAAGTTTACAGAAGCATATACACATTTAAAACCTGCCTTAATTAACACTGATCTTTAGGTAGATTGTGAAGATAGTTACACAAGATCTGTAGATAACAATCTCAATGTACCAAGATTAAATAAATGTACATTTCAAGTGGTTTGTCTTAGATGAGTGATAAAGAAAAATTTATTAATGTGGAAGCAATAAAAAATTACAGAACCATTAAAAAATGTAGCAATGTAAAAAAAAGGGGGGGGGGGGTTCAATTGGTTTAGTAAATTTTTTTAAGCTAAATAAACAGAGACTTTCTGAAATTCTTCTTAATTCTTTAAAGAAAACGACCCCACCCCACCCCATTCCTCTCACCCCCTTCCTCCCAAACAGCCTTACCCTTTAAAAAATATTTCCACAAGGAGATTTTGTAAATGAATAAGAGAGTTTGATGATTTATTAAGTATTTACATCTAATCGTGTGTCATCATAGAGAGTGAGACACTTTCTTTACCATGTTTATATCAGATCATACAACTTTGAAATATGTTAAAATTTCCTCCATTGTGCATATTAAGCCTTTTCAACAGTTAACATAAAATTTTAAATTTTAATTATAATGTAAAAGACTTGATGTTATGTCAGTGGGATTATAGCACCGTTGTAATCTGATTAAGACTAGACCATTAAGTCTCAAATGATTTTTCCATGAAGGAAAAAAAAAATCTGATCTTGCATTAAATGAACACTTTAAAATGTGCAATGCAACAATGATATTGTTTTACTGGGTATATTTTAAATTAGAAATACTTTTATGTCTGAAACACCAGTGCGTATATATTAAATGGTTTTAAAATTTGTCAGGCAACAATGGTTCCACTTAAAACAATGGAGATTTAAGTTAAGAATCAACCAGATTAAAGTCTTCAAACAATAACAAAGGAATTCCAGTACTATGTTCTAAAGAAACTTAATCTTTTTTTTCTCTCATTTAATTTTTCCTATGCACCTTATGACATGACCAGGGAATTCAAGTGTACGAATTTGAGATATTGGAAATATGTACAAGGATTTGCTCGAGTTGTCTCGGGAAATCCATGGATCTGTATTGGTAAATATTTCTCAGTTAATGTGAATACCATGTCATTTTCTTCATGAATTGTTCAAACATTTTGCTTGTTACAAACTCATATTACTGAGTGTAAAATAATTGATGTTAAAATTTATTGCAGTAGGTCAGATTAAGATTGAGTCAGAATGGAAGTTAAGATTCTAAATTCTAATGCCTCACTGAGTTAATTATGTTAAGTCATGTAATCCCTGAGAGTAGACCTTAATGGGGTGGGGGCATTTTTGTGTTGTGCCTGCAAGTGTTAGTAAAGTTTGCAAGGCAGGGGATGTTATAATTATTTACTCAAGACAGTTCATTCTTGTTTAGTTAGTTACAATTTCTCTCATGCTTAGATCTTCATTTGAAAAGTTCTGATTTCCTCCCATTTTATGACAGAACATTGACAACTAACCCCACAATGATGTGAAATATGTCATTTATGTACGAGTGGTTTACCAGTAACTAAGTAAATTGACAATGTCTTAAAACTGAGTGCCATATTGGAAAGTTTGTTTAAATTCATGCAGTTGTTTAGCTTAAAATGTTTAAAATTATCCAAAGATAAAAGGTGTTATTTTTAAGACAATAATTTACAAGAATATCTACACATTATTGGGAAATGAAAAAAAAAAAGATGAAACATGTACATGTGTAATTTCTCCTGAATGTAATCTACATGTACAAGTTAGTGTACACATGGTTTGCTTCCTTTTTCTTTTAGCTCATAGAGTATTATTTGGCTGTAAAACTGAGATGTGACAATTAGACGTCAAATCTCACTACAAGCGAGACTGCATACAGCACCTTTCACTCAATGAGTTTTAACCTTTGACCTTTCAGAGACTTCAGAGTGAGTTAAATGCAGAACGAGATCGTAGACTGCAAGCAGAGAATGGAGCAGAGCTGGAGAAAGTGGCCCTGGCCAATCTACAACAGGAACTCGATCTCGAGAGAAAGAATCTCAGGTCCACTGAGTCTGAGTACAAGGCCCGGGTCAAGCAGCTCACAACAGCAGTGGAACTCGAGCGAGCCAAGTCTAATGATCTTCAAGGGTTAGTTGAGAATTTACTTTATATAAACATTATGATTTTCAATGCGGAAATTGAAACAAAATTCATTTATTTAAGAAAAGAACTCAATAAATTCTTCAAAGAAAAAGGATGTAGAAAGGATAAAGGAGGGGGGTCATTCTTACAAAACATATTTTCTTTGATCTTTCAGATCATGTAACAGAATCAAGATGGTGTTTCTTTTATATGCAAGAAAATGTTTTTAAGAGAAAGGGGGGAAAAATGTTTCCAAACAAAATAACTTTTTCCTTGACTGAATCTTCATTTTGTGTAATTTATAGGGCCTTGGAAAGGGAACGAGCTGTCAATGATAAACTCAGAGAAAACCTGGACAGTGAGCGACGCTCACTTCTGGAAAGCACAGACAGGGAAAACTCAATCTTCGAGGACATGCAGCTGGAACTTGACTCAGAACGTGCCAAAGTGAATGATCTTAAAAACTCAGTGGAAAGAGAGAAACAGAGACTGCAATCTCAGGTTACACTATTGGAATCTCAGTCGAGTGCACTCAAAGAGGAACTAGAGCAGGAGAGACTGGCATGTCGGCAGATGAAAAATGAGATTGACCAGATACAAGTGAGTTCGAAAAATCTTATTTATTCTGTGTATAAGATGTTCTTTTTGCCGTAAAAATCAGATTCCATCCATTTCAGTTTAGTAATGCTACAGTCTCATTTAAGACTGTTAATTAAAATTTTGTTCAAGAATTAATTTCTTCATATTTATTGATGTTGTTTATTTCTTTAACAGCTTCAGAAGTTGGACATTACACGTCATTATGAACACGAACGGGACCAAGTGTCTCGACTGAAGTCTGAACGTGAACATCTAAGGTCAGAGGTCAAATCACTGAAAGACATGATAAATGAAAAGGAGAGAACTCGAGACTCAGAGAAAGTCAGCGAGCGACGCTCACAAAGACAACTGGAGAGGGAGAGAGATGACCAGAAAATGAAAATGGTGAGTACATTTAATAGAAGGAAAAATGTATTAATAAGTTACATTAGACAATAGTATGAGCCTCTTAATATTAAGCTTTGAGTAATTATCTAAGAAAAACTCTTTAATTTCTTTTTTTTTTTCAAAAAAAGAAAATAAGAAGAGCATCTAAGAAAAAACTCCAATGCCATTTCTTGACAATGCACTAACTTAACATTAAACAATGTGGAGAATTTAGATCTTGAGCGAGAATGGCCTTGGAAGATATAATTAAATTTTGAAAGTCTTTGTACATGTACAAAATGGAGACTAGTAAATGCAGATCTTTGTGCACATGAGATTAACACAGACATAACTTATAGCACTGTTATAATAAAGAGAACTGAATGACTTTACAGCATGAGAACGAGTTAGAAATTCAGAGACTGACTCAGCGAGTGTTAGACATGGAGGACCAAATCACAGTGAGTCGGGAGCGAGAGATGGAGGCCGTGCGCGAACTGCAGCAGGAAAAGCTACGCACCTCTCAACACCACGCAGACTCCGAGGGCAGCGAAGAAGACCAGGATCACTGGAACGTTTATAAGACACAGCTAGAGAGTATTTGTCAGAGTCTACAGTATTTGATATTACAATATCAGGACCAGCTTTCCTCAGGGTAAGAAATCCTTAACTTCACTTATTGTTATATCCACTTAATGTAATATCATTTTATTTTAATATCCATTATAAAGATATTTATAAAAATAATTGTCAGAGCCTGCCATATATGATATAATATTTATATCAGGATCAGCTTCCCTCAGGGCAACAAATACCAAACTCCACTTAATTTAATATCCAGTTATGTAAAAACTGTTATATCTATAATAATATCTTCAGAGTTTACATTATTTTATACAATAACAGGATCAGCTCTATTCAGGCTTAGGACTACCAGTCAAAAGTTAATTGAATGTTAACAAAAAATATCCTTCAACATTAATTGTCATGTGTCTTTTATCAAGATTAAATGTGTTTACTTTCCAAATTACAGATTCTTGCACATGATTCATTTAAATTTGGGGAAAATTAATGATCATTTATTTTTCAGAGTTCAAGGTGCAGTGAATGTTCATGGTTTAGAAAGATCACTGAAGGATTTGCTGGGTGAGCTCAAACAGACTCAGATGCCACTCGCTTTGGAGTCTGACAACACAGACAATCTCATGAGTCGCCCGAGTGCTCAGGCTGTGAATGAGCGAGTGCTACATCACAATTCTGAGTTAACGAACTTTGTGACAAGACTTACAGAAGAAAAAATGGAGCTACGCAACACTCTTGGAAGACTTGAGGAGGAAATTTGGAGATACAGGCAGAGGGGTTCCGAACATCAGGTGAGTAGAGCTGAGGATACAAGTAGAAGGGTTCCGAAAATCAGATGAATGTATACTGACCCATTTGTTCCAAACTTAAGGAAGTATTGTATACCCAATTGATTTCAAGAATATTTTTTTTTAAATATTTTGCATTTTGGATGAAATGATTTTATAGATACACAATGAAATTTTGATATATTAAATGTACAGTGGCGCCTCGTTAATCCAGACGCCTCCGTCCCCAACGAAATCGTCTGGATAAATGAATCGTCCGGATAAGTGAATCACTTCTTAAAAGACGCACGTACCCTCTCAAAGCATGTACATATGAACACAGTGGTATCAAATGTGAAGGCAAAGAAAACACCTTTATTGTACCTTGACGTATTGATTTTTATTTTTATAGTTTTAAAAGAAATAATTAATATTTAAAAAAATTAAAAAAAAAAAAATAAAATGTAATTTACACGATTAAAAATGGGTAGGTAGTTTTATGTTGAGACTTCCTTTTCTAACACAGGAAACTTTACTCGCCTTCTATTTGACGTGTAGTTACATGGCCTGACCAAATTTTGATCTGCTACTGTTTTATTTTGGCACATTTTTTTTTTATTTATTCAAGCTCATATTGAGCAGAACTCTTCATTATCACCATTGAGAATGTTCAAATGACTAACCGCGTATATTCACTACATAGGGAAGTAAGTAACTAAACACTGTAATCAGTGTACGTATTGCAAACATTCAACGTAAACACAAGCCATATTCAGGATTTTCAGTATTTTTCTATAAACTCTAAGTTATATACCTTGAAAAAACTTGATAGGCATTTATAACTAACGCCAGTTACGTATTTCTTAGTGCATTAAATAGAAATATATTTTCTTGAATTACGTATCATAATGAATCGTCTTATGAAAAGAAAAAAAAAACGTTTCAAATAATGTACGTTTTGAGAATTGGAAAAGCGTATTTTGATAAACTTATGCAACTCAATACCACAACGAAATCTCGTGATTTATTATTCACAAAAAAAAATTATTTACAACTCTCCAAAATTCTCATAAATTTATATACCGTTATCAATTTATTCTATTCTGAACGGATTTATTTTTAATTAATGCACAGTATAAGCTAAATTCTTCGGGCTTTATAATATAAAAGACGTGTGTTTTATCTGAGGTAAACACACGCTAATTATAGACGCTATTGTTTAGAGGTCACAGGTAACCGCCTTCAAACTGACTCCACGGACAATGTTTTTACAATAATTATCACTACTGCAAGAAAGGTGTGAAAAGTCGTTCCTCGAAAAATTACCGTCCGGATAAACGAATCATTTTTCAATGAAATATTACGTTTTGTAGTAGAAATTGACCGTATGGATCCGGAACGCGAATTTCCGGATTAATGAGACAGAATAACGTGGAAAAAATCGGTTCCCAGAAAATATCGTCCAGAAGGTGAAGCGTCTGTATTATTCAGAAATACTGATAAGAGTGCACATAATAATTGGATACAGTAAAACTTGTCTAATCGGGAAAACACTGGTTCCAAAAAAAAATGACCAGAATATACAACATTCCGGATTAGATAATGTTAAACAACTGAATTTGCTGAAAGGGACTTAAAAGTTAAGACGATTTTATGCAAGATTTTTGAATACACAAAATCGAGATTAGACAAGTTTCACTGTATAATTAAAAGCTTTCAGCATGATATTAAATCTGTAAAAGCAGGAAAAGATGATGAGAGTCAAATTTTTTACTCCTCAAGTTTTAAATTAATTTACAATTTTGTGCAGAATGGCCACGATGAGAGCCACCATGACCAGGAGAATCGTCACCTGGAGGCGCGCGCTGCTTGGGCCAAAGAACGTCTGTCCCTTCAGCTGTCACTTAATCAGATGGAGAGGGAACTAGACAAATGCCGGGCGGATCTAAGATACGAACGGGAGCGTACCTCAGTCATGAGCGGACAAAGCAAAGAGGGAGATAGAGACAGGGTAAATAAAAATACTAATTAGCAATATATGTTAATTATGAAGATAGTTGATTTTATGTACATAATGAAGTGTAGGTTTTGTTAGATTATGTAAATTTGTAATATTGTGTTGGTGTTTTCTGATGAAATGTCAGGCTTCTTTGTTTAGATCTTGTCTGGTGTACATTCTAGTTCTATTCTTGTTGCAAGTTTTACTTCTTTCTCTAATTTTGTTGACATTCAACAATGGTATGAAACTAATAATATTATAGCCAACCTTATATCATTGACTTGAAATTTTTGAACGACAATAATCAAGTGAATATATCTGTTTTTATAAATTCCTTCAATAAAAGAAATAACTATTTTTAGATCCAGTGACTCTATGGGAAGTACCTGAGAGCTGACAGCTATCGTAAGGCCCTGGTCTAGCTATCTTAGTAAATTCCTTCTTTATTATGACTGTTTTTAGATCCAGCGACTCTATGGGAAGTACCTGAGAGCTGACAGCTATCGTAAGGCCCTGGTCTACCAGAAGAAGTATCTCCTGCTATTACTGGGAGGGTTCCAGGACTGTGAGCAGACAACGCTAGCCCTGATCGCCAGGATGGGAGCTTATCCCTCACCAGAAGATCTACAGAGAGGGACCAGGCACCGCAGACCCTTCACCATGTTTAGAAGTGCTGCCAGGGTCGTAGTGGCCGTTTCAAGGTCAGATATTTATGTTGTTACTGAGTGTAAAGGTCAATGTTTAGAAGTACAGCTAGAGTCATGGTGGCTGTGTCAAGGTCAGAAATTTCTTCTTTATCAATACAATATAATCACAAACCAATTCTTTTTTGTCTTCTATGATTCCCATTAACCAATGACTGACACCTTTTTGGTGTAGTGAATTACATGACCTTTTCAAAAACTTCAAAGTACTTTGGATCATATTAAGAAGCATAGAATGATAATTGTCACACACAAAAAAAAATAATTTTTAGCTTTGAGACTTGTTTAAATAAATAATAATTGTAAGAGTTACTGTGCCAAGCTAACGGACAGACATCCTTAAGATATAATATTTGTTAAGAATGTATTAAATCTGATGATGTTTAAGGATGCGTTTCCTGGTGAGGAAGTGGAAAAGAGCTACCCGAGTCGGGTCCCCTGTGATGGGGGGAACGGTGGACCTGCAGCAAGGTAACAAAACATGATAAAGTCATCTTTGTAGAAATTAAAAAAACAAGAAATTTAGTTTAAAAAGAGATATGGAACAGTAAGATGTTTACATCTCATTAATGTTAGAGAGTTAGATACAAACATGAGAAAGGAACTTTGTGTCAGAAGCTCATGCATTGTTTAAAAAAACAAGGAAACAAGTCAGCATATTGAAAACAAGAAAAAAAGAATTTGTAGAAATAGTTTTATTGACCGGTAAAATTTGACTGTTCATAGAAAAACCAGTTTTAAAGATAGAAATGGACTTGATGTATCAAGTTTTAAAGATAGAAATGGACTTGATGTATCAGATGCACATGTAAAGATTTCAAACTGAAAGATGGAAACAAATGGAGGACTTGATTTGCACCAGACACCTGAACACGTGTGATAAATTTTCTGTACAGTAAGAATCCACTGTTTTATTTGTAGGTTACACACCAGATACACACAGTTTTTCACCGCCCCGCATCAACACTCAGTCATGCCTGAACGCCTCAGGACAACTCAACAGTCACTCATCAACCCCTGTCGTCAACACTCAGTCACGCCTGAATGGTTTTGGACCACTAAACAGTCACCCATCAACCCCCCTCAATCCCAATATCCCCTTGTCTCCCTATAGCCCCTCTTATATGTCTTCCAGTTATTCTCAGCGAGACGTCATTAATGGATCTACTCATCAACCACTAGAGGGTGCTTCTGGTGGTTACCAGGTCAACTGGAGTGGGATAGCCAATGGGATTTCACCTTATCAGTCTGTGGGTAGGTCCTCTGAAGGTTACCATGCCAATGGAAACTTTTCTGTTCATATGACCCCTCCTACGAGGGATTACAGCAGCAAACCTCATCCCTCCTCAGAAAACTCAGGTGCTAGAAGGTAGGTCTAATGTATATGTAATCTCATCCCTCCTCCTCAGAAAACTCAGGTGCTAGAAGATAGGTCTAATGTATTATGTTACTTTTGTATCACCATCTGGAACATAAATATCTTGAATACAAGGGTTATATCGAAGTGAGTAGGAAGTCTCAACCACTTTCCCTTTTTGTATTTTAATCTCCATCTCAAATCTTCTGATTCCATCATATGGGTACGATCGAGCAATTTTTGACAGTTATGCCCCTTGGACTTAGAAAAATTCCAATTATTTGCAGTTTCCATTCATTTTCTTTGCAGAGGTTGCACGTACTGAAATGAAATTTGGTATATAGATTAATCATAAAAATATCTAGGACAAGTTCTGATTTGGGTACTATCAAGCAATTTTTGACAGAGTTATGACCCTTGGAATTAGAAAAATTCCAATTATTTGGGGGGGGGGGGGGGCATAAGTGTTTCACAAACAACTCTTGTTACATTACTTTCAATATTTGCATTGTGATAAAGTAAAATGGGTAAGAATTGTACAACAAGAATCTGATTTTGCTTTTGACAGAAAAATTTTATCATCCACCATGTCTACTCCATCTAAGTCCTCCACCGCATCACCGGTACGTCGAGTGAGAATATCTGAACCGGAATCGGTACATGATGACTACATCAACCGACTAGAGAGTCTACAACAGCGGCTCAGCAACATGGATTCAGGTCAGTACAAAGACAGAGGTTTAAATCCTTTAAAGTCGAATCTCATTCTTATCGTGCTGTAGTGTAACATTCAATATTTCATCCAAAGGAAATTGATAAATTATTATTAATATATAATTTTTGTCATTGATTTATTAAACTCCTTGAAATCATTTGCTTTGAAGCACTTTCTTATGATAATAGGAGTTATACTAAAATATGACAAAATCTGCAAATAATGCTTGTGCTTTAATTGTGTATAAAATTCCTACAGCTATATAAATATATTTAAATTTCAACTTTAATATCAATATTCTTGTATCTGAGATACATTGTGTATACTGGTATTTCTCCATTGAAGAAAAAGGATAATTGTTACACAGGCATCTTTTACATCAAAAAGAGTCCATGGTAGCAAGGGCATCACCTTATGAAAGAACACATTGTTCCAGATAAAAATTATTTGCCGAACTCTTATTACAATGTACGCACGCATGCAATCACTTACACACACACACAGGCACACACAAGCTTGTCACTATATTCCCTCTAAATCCATTACGAGGATAAATAATTCATTGGTACATATGCACCAATCAATTTATTTCTTTCACCAGTATTACGTCATTTCCCAAAATATACACAATTTTATGTGCAGCCATCACACATACATATCATAATCCAATAAAAATAGCACCATTGTGATTTCATTTTAGCACACTTGCACCAATCACATTTGATTTATTTTCTCTCACCACAGATGAGGAACATTTAGAAGACATGTTGTGATTTACATGTAAGCTCTGGTATTCGGGGTCTGCTGGGCATTTTATTCCTATGTACATATACCTCTGTCTGTGATGTCTTCCAGTCTATGTGCATTTGGTGCTTGTAAAGTGTTTGAGACTGTACAGAATTTTGGTGTGACGTTATATGCTACTAACATTTGAAGTTTTAATATAAAAATTTATCATTCATATTATCAGAATAGGTTGCACCTTTAGTAGTATTATTAAAATAAATTTTGATAATTCTTTTCATCATTCATACTATCAAAATTGGTTGCACCTCATATAGTATTGTATAGATAAACCCTGATAATAAATGTTCAACAAATTTCACATATTATGCTATACTCTATTTAATTTGGCAGGATTCATATTTTTGTCTCTATCACAATTATTTTGTACTCAATTCTTGAATTCCATCAGATTAAAGCATGTTTTTATACAAATACAGTGCATAGATATGCTTATTCAGCAAGTAGTTCCTGACGTGTGATTGCACTTTACTTTCTGTAGCTTTACAAAAACCTGTGCAGGCCGTCGAGGGGCACAGACTGCAGGCCAGCCGGCCAAGTCCCTCAACCAGATAAACAATAACCAAACTTAAACATTGCAAAAAGGGAAAATTAAGTCATTATGGATCAAAATTAAATTCAAATATTTCTGTAAAAGGGAGCCATATTCTCCAGTATCTTAGGAATCAATCAAGTTTTTCTATGAGAGAAGTCAGCAACAGTTGCATAATAAATCAATTATATTCTTTTTTCAGTAATTTTAGGAATATTGGTACATGTACTTCTTTTTTTGGTCCAGTAGTGGTAGTATAGTAGGCATATAGTATGGATTGAGGATGGGGTTTGGTTTTGGTGGTATGGATTTGGTTTGAGGTTTGCTGTGATAATTTATGCATTTTATTTTCAGGAATTGCTTCTTCCAAAAAAAAAATATATATATATATCGGTCAATCAAATGCTTAATGTTTGCTTTTGATGAAGATTATGGTTTGATTTTTGAGTTGAATAGCTGTCATTGATATTGCATTTTAAATTTAATGTCCTATTTTTATTTTTACAGGTACACCAAAGTCAAGGTCATATCCAAGGCGATAGTTACCATTTTACCAGAGTTTCTCTGACATTTCTGTGATTTAACCTTGATGCCAAACTGCAGCATTTCAAAAATCCTGGAAGTGAAGTCAAACAGCAAACATAAATCGATCATACATGCAATCTGATGTTATACCTTGTTATTGTGAATGTCTTGAAGCCGTGAGAGTTCAGATTTGTGTGTAGAAAAGTCTCCTAATATAAAACAGACATACATTGTAATTGTTGAATGTGTTGAATTTATTTATATGGGACCATATAAAAAATTACTTCATATGTTTTGTATGTAAAACCTGTGAAAAGCATCTCTTTAGAAAACTTGTGTTTGATATAGTTCATTTTATGATAGTTTTATTTTTTATTTATTTTTTAAACTCTTTTCCATTGTTCAGAATGTTAATTACCTCTCTTTGTGACATCATTAATGTAAAAAAAATATATATAGCAATATTTTATGATATTACTCAAAATTAAATGGTATAGAGTTGAAATACAAGTGAAAAATTATGTATGTGATTTCTAATTCAGAACTCCTGTATCATTTATTATCATTAGATAGGATACAACGTATAAACTAGTCCAAATAAGCTGTGATTTTATATTCTGGTGAAGAAGATACTGTTTACTTGATAATCATAGAAATAGATTTACATCATAATTTGTATTTTATTAAAAATGAGAGTCCTCCCTATCGGTTTTAAAGGAGGAATATTTATAATTCATACCTGGTAAATATCTTTTATTCATCTACATTTGTTTATTTAGGAAATAGCAGTTTTATATTTGATGATATTTAGAATTATTAATAAATGTATTGCAAATGCTTCACTAGTAAATAATGCAGTATACAGTGGTGGACTTTTACACAATTTCATTATGTGTACATGTATCTTGTAGTAAATAATCACTAATCATTATGACACCATGCAAACTGTTTTATTTTACTTTTCAAAATTATATTCTTTATTGATACCAAGGGTTATAATTTTTTTGAAGAAAATACTTTAAAGCAAAAGAATTTACCCATATTTCATCACTGTAAAAGTGAAAATTGTGTTTAATTACATCTGTTTTCATCCACATGTCTCTCTATATCTGCATTAATTTAGATTTGAAGGGAATATCTAAACTTGAAGTCAGGCATATTAACTGCTATTTTACATTATTTTTAGCTTATTAAATAATTTTTTTTCAATATAGGAAATATATTCTGCAATAAACACATGCCTTAATTTTGTCGACCATACCTGCAATTTATGTCATTTTAATTCAGTTGTGATATTTTGTATGGATGTCTTTGGTGTATTCTATGGTGTATATAATTATATGTTTGAATGCAGAATTGATAATTAAAATATCAAAATATATACTCTGACTTGAGTTGATTGTTTCTTAGCTATCAAGGTTTTTGTGTAAGATGCATATTGTCCTAATAGAATATTTGTCGTGCTTGTAACTCTTAGCTTTATGATTTGACAGAAGAAAGAATTAATTATTACTAAAACACTGATCTCACTTTAACTTTGGATGTTAGAAAAATAGGGATGAACAAACTGTCTTCTTGAAAGTTGATTTTCAAAGTTTTTTGGTTTTTTTTTTTAAAATATATTAGATGAAATGCTTTAGAAGTAAAATGCATGTATCATTTTTAAAGTATTTTTTTTAAATAAATTGGATGAAATGCTTTTAAGGTATTAAAAATTGCATATATCATTTTATTTTTAGGTTAATGAATCAAAGTGTAATGGCGAAGTGCACTAAGTTTTGCTTGCTATGGGAAATATATCTGTCCGATCATAACATAACATGGTAATATGTGATCGTTTCTTTGAAAGTTTCAGGAATAGTTGCGGATAAGAAATGGGCACCCATTCTATTATCGAAAAAAATGCTTTTTCCAAGCATAGCGATTGGAAACCCAAAAATTCTCTCCGATCAAAACGTAGGAATAGGAGTTGTTCAACAGCACTATGTAATAAAGATTCTCGGAAAGTCCCACAATATGGTATAGGAGGAGTTGCAGATAAGAGATGGGTACTCCCCAGTAGCATAGAAGTTTTGTTATGGGAAATCTGAAATATGTGTCCCATCGAATCGCAAAATAAAAGATGGAAATGCCACTTTAAAATGAAAGTCACTTTAAAAGAGATCGGTGAACTAGGCGTGCAGAATGCCTATAGCTTCAGATATTAAAAAAATCAAACTGAAATGTGTGTCAGAATTGTTCATTTATTTTGTTGGTACAAATACATATGGGTGAATCTCGGATCACATACTTACCGGTAATGGATAAATGGCATCATATATTCTGGGACACCTTGTACCTATCGCTTAGAAAGTGGGGGGGGGGGGGGGTTATTGCTACATAGTAATGGGGACGGCCGTCTGTCTGTAACTCTCAGAGGTAACAATCCCTTATCTGCTACTCCTCTTACACCATTGAATGCAATTTTACATATTAACTTTTACCAATTTTTTATTACCATGGTGGCATTTGCATGTTTCATTTAAGGTTTAGATCGGAAACACATTCTGGGTTTTCCTCAACAAAACTTCTTTCTATACATTATTGGGAGTGAGGGGTACCTCACTTATCTACAATTCTTCTTATATCAATGAATAAAAGAAAATGGGTGAACAAGGCGAGCGAAGTGCCCACAGTGTGACAAACATGAAGTGAAAATAAAATCTCAATTATATAAAAATTTGATTGGATAAAAAATTAGTTTATATCGTATAACCTGGGTTGCCTATGTCACAATGTTTTCCCCAATAAACAAGGATTTCGTGGGTTTCTTTGGAGAATTTATTTTTTACATATTCAACATAAATAAACCCTGTAACAAAAATATTCGTAAAATCAATGCATGGCATAAACAAATATTAACAAGTCAATTTAAAATTTTATCTCTGGTCGTAATATATTACACTGAACTTTCATTTCACATAATCTTTATAATTAATAACTTTATCCAGAAATAATAGAAAATTACTGATATTACCATATGGAAATATTACTCTTACAAAATATGAAAAGAAATCATTACATACTTCCGATTTTGAAATTTTGAATTATAAACCAAAAAATCAACGAATATAACTTTCAGTAACCAGAACTGAAATAAATGTTTAAACAGAGAAAATAACATGAAACTCAATTTCTTGCAAATAATAAACACAGATATATACCCTTACCTCACATATGCATGATTTGTAATGGTCAAAACGTAAATACTTCGAGGCGATGAATAATTTCATGCTTCCCTGTACAATAAATATATTAGGATTTATAATTTTAAATTCTGTTTAAGAAATGAATTTAATTTTTGAAGATTCATGAGGACATGAACTACGACGCTTCACGCCGGCATATTTAAAGAAGCAATTTAACTGTCACTTTTAAGGTAAAGTTTGCGATTACAGGGAGATAACTCTTATAAGTCACTTAAGCGTTTGATACCGGCGGAATTTAAACCAGCGATACTAAGCGTTCAATCGCTAATGAGTTTCGTCTGTCAAACCATGAACATGATGATGGGAACAAACAAAGGACTTTTCCAGTAGAAAATCGTATAACAATTAAAAGTGCTGGAATCTCGGAAGAATTTATCGGACATATGAAAGACGTTTAGCGTAATGCATGATTGATGACCCAATAAAAGAGGACTAGTAAGGCCACATAAATTTAAAATTTAGATTCTCATCCTAATTTGCTAAAAAAAAAATGGGGCGGGTGGGCGGATTTTATTTTTTATAATTTAAAGTATCAACAAAACATTCTTACACGTAATTTTTACATTATGTTAATGCCAATATGAATACATTTATTTATTGTTTCCATATTCTTTTAAATATCTACAGAAGATTCTTTTTATAGAAAATTAAAATATTTATAGTTTTATTAACAAATTATCAAGTACACAGATACCTGGATACGGCACACGCCAAACAAAATGAGACCCGTGCTGATCCTAATAAATTGCATATGCATGTTTTCTCATCGGCCTTTCCCCATATACCTTATAGTTTTACCAACAACTCCTTCTGTTCTGTGTGATATACAGATATCACAGATTTCCACTGTCCTCATACATTCAATCGTTCTTGAGACTTGACATGTTCGACATTAAAATATATCATATTTGCAAAACAGGATTGTGTAAATCTGTAAAATATTCTACTGAAAACCCTAGGCCTGAATAGTTTTACGATTTAACATTATTATTCTCTAAAGTCTTTGAATGATGTTTTATTTTTTTTAATGCAAAATCACATACAACTAGAGATCGTTATTTAAAACTTGACCATGTGTATTTTCTTCGTCTGTTTTTACTTGGTTAAAATCTCTTTAAAAACTTGCCCATGCCAGTGATGGTATCTAGATGTGTTTATATATTATTTTTGCTTTTCTGCCTTCTCTTTACTGACAAATTATCTTTTCCTTACATATTTAAACTGCTTTTATTGCCGATTTTTCTCCATTCTTCACATAGGTTTTTTGCTATAAATAGCGCCACGCGACTTTTAATACAGACGGGAGATAACTCTTAAATTTTGACCCAGATTCTTGCTGAATAAAAATACATGAAAATAATATGTTTGGCACCCAAAAAGCAAAATAAAAAACAACGGGGCGGGGCACTTTGAGAGGGGCGGGCGGGGATGAGAATCTAAAGATTAATTTTATCTGGCCTTAAAGTTTATTTTCAATACGGAACTGCGCAAGTTTCAAGTCAGCAGGAGCAAAGAATCAGATGTATTGTAAATCATGCACTTCACCACTTCACTTAAACATGTTAAATGACATCATGAACGAATGAAAGAATAGATGTGGGAGCATCCTGTTACTCTCTACATGCTCTATACACTCCGGACAGGGAAGTGAAGTCACGGAGCATTGACAGATTGATATAGTTGCATCAGACAGGTAATTATTAAACTGTTAATTTTTAAGTATTTGTAGTTCATAATCGGTATTACGACTTCGAATTACGGAAAGTTGTCAGCTACCTAAACGGATATAAACAGTTATGAATGAACAGATCAGGGTGCACGTTAATCCGAGAATCCTCTGACTCTAACCCTTGCTTTTAGTCTTTTATCTGTCTATATTATGCGCCTCGGTTGACAATGGTTTTCTTGGGTGAAAATTTTCAATGTTACACTCTACTACATGCAGTATGACATGTGCAGCTAATCTCGGATTAGTTACATGTGACTAAAACCCTGCAATGCTGAAAAAGTTGTCATCCAACTTTTTATTAAATCTATCCCTCCCTCCCTCTCTCTCATTTTTTAATACAATCAGGAAAGCATTTTCATCATTTTTTTTTTATGAAATAGTTTAAATTATTGATTGACACTTATTCAGATCTAGTGTATTTCTCACTATAAATTAGTTCTCAATGA